ACTGTGAGAGAGGGTAGGCTGGACTGAGGGACCCTCCCCCCAGTGCACGTATTTTCATGCACCGGGCCACTAGTCCTATATAAAAAAAGCCTAATATGCAAATCAACCAAACGGTGGAATGACTGGTTGCTATGATGCGCATTGACCACCAGGGGGCGCGCTCAATGCGCAGGAGCTTCCCCAGGTGGTCAGTGGGCTCCTGCAGGGGGAGCACCACTCAGCCAGACGCCCAGAAGTCTGGCTCACAGCTGGCAAGAGCAGCGGTGGTGGCAGGAGCCTCTATCCACGTCCTCACCAGCACTTATTTGTTCATTCTGACAGGTGGTGACAATCATTGTGGTTTTAATTTGCATTTCCCTGATGATTGAGCATCTTTTCATATGTCTGTTGGCCATCTGTTCGTCCTCTTTGGAGAATGTCTATTCAGGTCCTCTCCCTATTTATAAATGGACTAGTGGCTGGTGCATGAAATTCATGCACAGAGGGGAGGGTTCCCGGGTGTCCCTCAGCCCAGCCTGCACCCTCTCCGATTTGGGACCCCTCAAGGGATGTCCAACTGCCCATTTAGGCAGGAATCAGGACTAAATGGCCAGTTGGACATCCCTCTCACAATCCAAGACTGCTGGCTCCCAACTGCTTGCCTGCCTGCCTGCCTACCTGATTGCCCCTAACCACTTCTGCATACCAGCCTGATCACTGCCTAATTGCTCCCCTGCCAGCCTGATCAAAGCCTAACAGTTCTCCTGCTGGCCCGATCACCCCCAAATACTCTCCCCTGCAGGCCTGGTTGCCCCCAACAACCCTCCCCTGCTGGCCTGGTCCCTCCTAGCTGCCCTCCCCTGCTGGCCTGCTCACCTCCAATGGCCCTCCCCTGCCGGCCTGGTGGCCCCCAAATGCCCTACCCTGCAGGCCTGGTCATCCCCAACTGCCCTCCCCTGCTGGCCATCTTGTGGCCACGTGGGGGCGACCATCTTTGACCACATGGAGGCAGCCATCTTGCGTGTTGGATTGATGGTCAATTTGCATGCTGGTTGTGACTAATTAGCCTATCAGGGCTAATTAGCATATCGCTCTCTTATTGTGTTGTAGTGATGGTCAATTTGAATACTGGTCATGACTAATTAGCATATCCAGGCTAAATAGCATATCCCTCTCTTATTATATAGGACTAGTGGCATGGTGCACAAAATTTGTGCATAGGGGTTAGGGGGTTCCCACAGCCCAGCCTATACCCTCTCCAACTGGGGACCCCTTGGGGGATATCCTACTGATGGCTTAGGCCTGGCCCCCCTCGGAGTGGATCTAAGCTGCAGTCTGGCCTTCCTCTCGTGTTGGATTGATGGTCAATTTGCATGCTGGTCGTGACTAATTAGCCTATCAGGGTTAATTAGCATATCGCTCTCTTATTGTGTTGTAGTGATGGTCAATTTGAATACTGGTCATGACTAATTAGCATATCCAGGCTAAATAGCATATCCCTCTCTTATTATATAGGACTAGTGGCATGGTGCACAAAATTTGTGCATAGGGGTTAGGGGGGTCCCACAGACCAGCCTATACCCTCTCCAACTGGGGACCCCTTGGGGGATATCCTACTGATGGCTTAGGCCTGGCCCCCCTCGGAGTGGATCTAAGCTGCAGTCTGGCCTTCCTCTGTGGGAGGCTACTGGGCTGATCAGGGGAAGGCACCATCCCCATCACCCCACTGCTGCTGCCACTGCCAGCCACAGTGGCTGCGAAGCCTGAGCCCCAGACCTCACAGCCACTGGGGCTCACGGTTGCCTGAGCCCCGGGTCCTACAGGGATCAGGCCTAAACCAGCGGTCGGGCATCCCTCTCACAATCTGGGACTGCTGGCTTCTAACTGCTCACCTGCCTGCTGGCCTAATCACCCCTAACTGTCTCTGCCTTTGCCCCTACTGCCATGGCTTTGTCTGGAAGGAAGTCAGACATCTGGGAGATGGCCAGTTGACCCGGTCTAATTAGCATATTACCCTTTTACTAGTATAGACTAGAGGCCTGGTGCATGAAAAATTTGTGCACGGGGGGAAGGGAGGTCCCTCAGCCGGTCTGCATCAATGCCAGCTTCCCTCGTCCTGGTCTCTGGCCAGAGGCCTCTCCCCTCCCTCCGTGAGGCTGGGGCACAGAAGCCAGGGGCAATGTGAGCCAAGTGTCCCACTCCAGGCCTCTGGCCAGAGGCCCCACCCCTCCCTCTGTGCGGCTGGGGTATGAACACTGGACTAATGTCGTTGGGGGCGACACAAGCCCAGCATCCCGCACCCAGGCCTCTGGCCAGAGACCCCTCCCCTCCTTCTACACAGCCAAGGAGCAGATGCTGGGCTCGCATTGCCAGGGCAATGCCACCAGTGTCCCGCCCCGGCTGCTATGGGTGCCGCCATTGTTGTTGCGGAGTGATGGTTAATTTGCATATTACTATTTTATTAGATAGGATAGATTATATAGAATAGGATTGCTTAAATGCGGGGGGAAAGCCTTTTGCAGCAGGAGGAGATGCTCTTGGCAGACAGAAAAACGCATAATCCCTATATCTGGACTGACAGCCAACCATATGCACTATACAGCCAAAGCGGTCATTAAAAAAATGAACCTCTTTCTTACCCCTTACACCAAACAGCTGTTGCCCTTAAAACCCCTGCTCATTCCCCACCTTAGGTTCTGCCTTTGTAGTTCACCCAGATTAGGTTCTGACTGGTCAGTTTCTATGCCAGTCAGCGTCAAAAGTTCCATCTACTAGGCAGCTATTGGCTCCTCACACTTCACCCATATTAGGTCCTGATTAGTCAGTTTCGATGGCAGGCTGTGTCAAAAGCTCTGCCTCCTAGGCAGCCATTGGCTCCTGGCACTTCACCCAGATTTGGTTCTGATTGGTCAGTTTCTATGCCAGACACTATCTCTGGGCCTATCTTTGGGCCTGATTAAAGAGGTGGGGCTGATCAGCAGCCCCGCAGAGGCCCAGAGAGAAACAGAGTCATGGCTGCTGGTAAAGCCCTGAGAGAAAAAGAGAGGCAATGGCTGATCAACAGCTGCCATTGAGGCTGCAGATCAGACCCTGCCTCTCTCTCTGCAGGCCTCTCTCCAGGCCTAATCTGCAGCCCCTCAGAAGTCAGTGCTGGGTGACCACAGCAACCCAGCACTGACTTCAGTGTTAGGTTGAGCCTTCGGTTGTTATGAACACTGGCACTAGTGTATAGCCAGTAATGGCAGCTATTTCTTAAAATGTACACACTAGAGGCCCCGCGCACGCAAAATTGTGGGCGCTTAGGGTCCCTAGGCCTAGCCTGGCTTCTGTCACGTGGCCTCTGCCACCCTGCAACACTACGTGAAGCTCCCCACCCCAGGACACTCTGCAATGGTCATGGCCCCTCGACTGCTTCGCAAGGCTCCCCCTGCCCTGCCACTGCCCCACGAGGCTCCCCCAACCCTGCCATTGCTCTGCAAGCTCCCCTCACCCCACCATTGCTCCATGATGATCCTCCACCCTGCCACGCTCCACGAAATTCCCCCCGCCCCGCCACTGCTCCAGGACCCAGGACTTACTTCTACCACAGGTGGCCGGGACCCAGGACAGCAATTCAGCCCACTCACCAGTCCCCACCCACCAGAGCCTGCCTCGTGTGCAGCCTGGCATTCGGTCGTCCCTCTGGTCATTTGGATGCGACAGACCATGACTCTTTATATACAGATGTTTATATTACTGAGCATACTGCCTAGTATATAACATATGTACAGTGTGGTGGTTCTTTTGATTATCCTGTTTTTAAAGCAGAAGTGGGAGGTATTAGAAAGTCAAGTTCATTGAAGTAACAGCCTTGCTGTATGCCATTTACAAAAGCAAGTCTAAGACTACTGAACACAGTGATGACATCATACCAAATTGGGGGTGGTCCTGCATAATATTGTAGATGATTTCTGAGGCTCTGGCACCTGGGGCTTCAGCCTGTAAGATCCTGTTGGTAATCTGCAGCATTCCCCCTTCCGGAACCCACACCATTGAATTGGCCACAAGCCGAAGACCTTTGTCATTCTAGAATAAGGAGAGAGTACAGAATTAGGTCCAAGCAAAATAAGAAAATATCAGTCCTTAAAAACATGTTATCAGGTACCACTGCTGCTAATGATTGTCTAGTAAGAGATTCATGGCTTTAGAGTCACACTATGAACTACAGTTGCTCGAACAACACAGGTTTGAACTGCATGAGTCCACTAATTAATGGTTTTGTTTTTACAATTGACCTGTGCTATCATTGACTGGTGCAGTTCAAACTGTGTTGTTTAAGGGTCACCTTGACAGTTAGGAATCTGCATTCAAGGTCAAGAACCCTCTCCTTTCCTTCCTTGCTCTAAAATGCAATAAAAATATTTTAAAAAGAAATAAAAACTGGTAGTTATAAAATAGTCATGGGAAAGTAAGTAAAGCATAGGAAATAGAGTTGATAATTCTATATAATAAAAGCCTAATATTCTAACTGTCCGGTCATCCATTCAACCAATCAAAGCATAATATGTTAATGATATACTAAGGCCACTTAACCGCTCCCTATGACATGCACTGACCACCAGGAGGCAAACGCTCCGACCAGTAGGTTAGCTTGCTGCAGGCATCCGGCCAATCGGTACTGAGCAAGACAGACATGCGCTGGAGCCCTCCTGTGGTCCCACCCTGGCTGGCCAACCTCCTGTGTCTCTCCTGGCCCTGATCATGCACCGGTGGGGTCCCTTGGCCTGGCCTGCACCCTCTCACAATCTGGGAC